CAAACAGTCCTTGTTTACAATAATCTTTTCCCACAAACACATTATTTTTTGTCATCATAATTTTATCAGATTTAAAAGACACATTGACTCAAACTTTTCCCAGTAAACTAACAGAAATTAAGTTTGCCCTAATAATAGGAACATGTAGTACTTCGTTAAGAGCCAAGGTCTTGCCAGATATGAGCTTCAAAAGAACTTTTCCTTTTCTAAGAACTTCAGTAGTCCTTGAGTCACCAAGATACACTTGTTTTTCTTCATCTCCCACTAAAGTGTAGGAGGTAAACATATTTTTGTTTGCCAGATGTGCTTGATAGCCTCAGAGTCTACCACCCAATCACTCACATTAGCTATTAGCAAGGCTTGAGAAATGACCGCAAATATAACGTCATCTTCTTCAATCAAATTTGCATTTGGTTTTGGAGGATTGTCACTTCTCTTCCTATGTCTACATCGAGTAGCATAATGTGGGTGATAAGTTCAGCGAGAGACAATGATTTATTCTTATGCTTTAGTTACTGCTTATAATCCTCCTAAGATTCTGATAATTTTTCAATTAGTAGTCCAACGACAAAATTCTCAGACAGTGTGATCTTCTCAGCTTTCATGTCTTCCATTAGCTTGTGGTATCTAAGTCTTGATATCTTCTTCATCATTCATCTCTCACTTATAATAGTGTCCGATGCCATGACTCCTTTTTATAAAGAATCAATGATATTCTGCATTACCATTCTTAATTAATTTATCCATTTATTGGATATTATATACATGAATTTAAAAACATAAACTTATAGCAAATTAAACTTCGGCATTCACATTAACAAAATAACAAAATTTCTTTAACCATTTCTCATATTACACCGAACCTACATAAAATTTATAATATACACACACACACACACAACATATTGATTCAGTGAGGGTTTTCAAAATACAAGGGTTCAAAATGTAATTACATTTCCTGGGCAAATAAAAAAATCTAACAGTTTATACTTAATGCCTAAAATTTAGTCCACAGAAGGATTAACATCCTGCTCTTCCACAAAGCTAACTCCAATGTCTTTCAGCCAGACTTTCCAATTTGAAAAGTAGATTCATTTTCTGCACCTTCTGCTCATGTACCATCGTACGATCATTGCAGCACACACACACATACCAACACAACAAAATGCAAGAGTGAGCTTATATAATTGACAACCTCATTACTCAAATATAAATGAATATAGATAAAATTATTTGAACAACTCATAACAGTCAGCCCACAGCTTCAATAAAACAATGCAGCATGTTCAGCTCATCTAATGCAAATGCAGTGATTTAGTTTCCATCTAGTTTTACAACCTAAGTAATCCAGAGGAATTGTTCTGGTCTGGGAGCAACCCATCCTAGTATCTGGATCCAGATACAACACAACTCAATGTCCTAGACAGCTCTAGGATGATAATGATGAATATGATGCAACACAACTAAATCAACATTTTACAATACAATAAATATTCATTTTCAGCCTCAACAATACAGCAATAAATGCATTTTCATCTAGCCTTAATAGTACAGCCACACATATATTCACAACAAAATTTAGCATTTTGGCATACAACACATAGTAAAACTAAGCAGCTAAAAATATTAATTAAATATTTTAGCAAATATTAACATCCTTAGCTCATTTATTACAACAAATCAGCATATAACCTTTCACCACAACGCTACAAACATTTATCATACAGCAAGAAATACACTCATCTGATAATATTGAAATTTGTTCGACTATATAGGTTCTGAGTTCTAGTTCATGATTTAACTTATACAGCTCATTATTCTCAGCTATAATGAAATCATTTATATGAATATCTCAGCCTCTACTAAATGAACTAGATCGAATTAGGTAAGCTCCCCTTACTTAGAATAAGTTCCAAGATCGTACTCCTAATGAGTTCTGCAGAGATAGATCAACTGTTTGGGTTTAAAATACAGTTTGAAAGGCTCAGATCTACTTAGAACAACATGATTTAAGTCCCTTGAGAAAGAGAGAATAAACAAAGTAAAAACTGAAAACTGAGCTCTGAGAACTCACCTAGATCTTAATGAGATAGAAAATCTCGCTTTGATCTTAGAGAAATTCGACTTCGGGAAGGTTTTCTCTAAGAGTAATAGGAGAGAGAATAGAGAGAGAAAGAGAGAGAAAAGTTGTTTGGTGAGAAAATGAAGTTTCTAGGCGTTGAGGCCCCTTTAAATACCCCCTCTAGTGCACGCGCTCTTACTTAAGCAAGCTAATTCTCGCTTGAGCAAGATCTGCTTTTGCCTGGGCGAGTCAACCCTTGCCTAGGTGAGAAAATCAGATAGTGGATCCTCTTAATTTTATGATATTCTTGCTTGAGCGAGATACATCTTACCCAGGCGAGTAGCAATCTCGTTTAGGCGAGATTGGGTCCAGAGAGCTACTAAATTTTCCTGTGATTCCTCACTTGAGCGAGAACCTCTCGCTTGAGCGAGGTCACCTCTTGCATGATCAAGATTTCTTTTCGTCTGAGCGAGGTTACAACTGAGGCAATCCTATTTGTCCTCACTTAAGCGAGACTAATCTCGCTTGAGTGAGAGACCCTGTACCCAAACTCCAAAATTTCTCTTTCTCGAGGAAAATAATACCAATTCTTAATCATGCTTTCTAAATAGTCTGCATTCAGCACATTTAACAATCATTATTCAACTCACACTGCACTTTATATATAATAACATCATTATACGGCACAACGACTGCCCTGCTCCTTATCCGGCAATCACATAACTTTTATATTCCATATTCCAATATATAAACAATTCACATAGTTCGAGCTTACACAATCGTAATCAATAGGCATAATAATAAATACGTATGATTACACCAATCTTACATCCGATGATGAACTTTTCTCTTCTAGTATCCTCAGTAGTATATTTGAGAATCAAAAACTCCCAAATTTTGTTGGTTTCCTTATAGGAACAATAGACATCAAATAATTCATTAGACAATGTATTGAGAATAGTATGTCTACAAACCTTGTTACCAGAAGTCCAGTCTTCCAATTTTGGGGTAGCATTTGAATCTGGTTTCAGTTGTGTGAGAGCATGAGCTACGCCGTGCAGATCAAGAACAGAATAGACACATTCTTGCCATAGTTTAAAGTTTTCCCTTGGAACATTTCTATTTTTGACATGTTTGGAAAAGGTTTTGCATAGTTGACTACGAAACAATTGGATTAGGTGGATTCACGTTGATACCGTTTTCATGGTTATTTGCAGCGTTGTTGATGGGATTTTCATTATTTATTGATTCGAAGTAGCTGATCAATAATATAGTTTAAGGCGTGTAGAATATTATTCTTAAGAATTATTTCGGTGTAGTCGAAAATCCTTTAGGACACAACAAACTCTTCTTGTTTGAATGTACAAGGCTCTCAAGAACTAGCAAGCTCTAAAAGTCATAACCCATAGATAAATATAGTCAGAAAAGTTTGTGCCTCTTACGTGCAATTTTTTCAAAACATTTAAAATATTTTAATCAGTGTAATTGCTTACTAAACGTTACATATAACTGAAAATATTAGTAATAATAACAATTAAATTAGAATAATAAAATAACAATAATAATTAATAATTTTTTAAAAAATATAATTATATTATTTTCAACAAGATATTAAATTTTTACACTTAAATAACACACCTTCCGGAATGTTTGTAAGAATCTCACCATAAAAATTATTATTATTATAATATTCATATTTTTTTGAAGAACTCAAACTATATTAAAACATCTGTCCTACCTTCACTTACAATTAATTTATAGACACAACAATTTAAAATTGTCAATAATTTTTTTTAAAAGTTAAAGATTATTAATGAAAAAGTTTAAATTTTAATTTTTTAAAAATAAAATATCAGAAATGACAACTTTATCTTCTCAAAATAATATTTTTTTAATTCATAAAAAGCTAATGGCAACTTTTAAATTAAGCCATATTTTCGGAATTTCACGTAAAATCTTATTTTTTTTATAATTATAAAATATAATTACCATATAAAAAAAAAGGAGACACAAAGTTTGATTTACTTAAAATAATAAAAATATAAAAAATTGTAACAACAAAAAGAGATTTAGTTGAAAGGCTGAGGGACAAATATGTAGTTACAGGGATGAGATATTTTGCTCTAGTTACGTCAGATATTTTGGAGTATCCTTAGTGATCTGATCTGTCTGCTCTTCATCTCAACGGTAGCATCATCGTTCATCACGTGACGGGGTCCACAATGACAAATTTTCACAGCACACACGTGCCGCTTGCTTCCCAAATGCGCAATTTGCACTTGTTTGGCTGGAGTCGTAGCTTCGCGCTTCCATCTCTTTCTACCGTCACTTTCCACTTCAGTTTTAACATATAATTATATTTTATTTTATTTATATATTTTTAAATCTAACATTAAATTTGATTCATAAAATAAATTATCAATTTAATTATTAAAATTGCCTTTTATTTTAAACAGTTTAAAGTTTTTAACTATAAATTTTAATTGACTAACATCACCAGATTCTCGCAGAATAAATTTTGACGAATTATTAAACTCAATGGCTAAGACAGAAATAGCTAATTATAAGGAGAAGATTTGTATGCAGATTATAAGTATTGTTCTTGTTGTATTAGAATTAAAATTCTAATTTTATTTTAATAATGTATTAATTTACTAGTCAATATATTTTTAATATTAATTTTTATTATATAATATAAAAAAATTATTTTAATTAAAAATAACCCTGTAAATACTCACACTTAAATTTTATCTTAATTATAACGAGAGAAAATATTTTATCTGACGAAGGGTAAAAGTGTACATAGATAGGTAGAGCGAGAACCGGTAACCAAACACGGTTACTAGTTTAACCCTGGTTCGATCCCCCGCCGTAACCGTGGTTAACAAATCAACTCCTATTTAACCATCCCTTGGGCTTGGCAATAATCTTCGTGCTGCTCTTCTCTCTTATTTCCCACTGTGTCCCAAAATATTTAGGGTTTTATTCTGTGTCCATGGCTTCTGCAGAAGTTGAGTACCGTTGCTTTGTGGGTGGGCTTGCTTGGGCCACCGACAACGATGCTCTGGAGAAAGCCTTCTCTCCTTACGGCCACGTCGTTGAATCGAAGGTCCGTTTGTTGCAGGCTTTGCATCTGATCTGACACGATTCGGATTCGGATTTTCTCGATCCCATTCTGATCTGTGATCTCTGATCTGTTTGCGTTACTTGATCTATGATACTCTACTTGTGTTACTATATGATTCTTTTATTACTCACGCCAATAGGTACGTTCATCTTCATCTTTGAACCAAAGGCGAAGATCGATCGGTTTCTATCGGTTCTGTTTTTGTTTTTCGTGCTGTTTTACTTTGGATCTGACGCGGTATTTGGTTTTTATTGTGCAGGTTATCAACGATCGTGAGACTGGGAGGTCCAGAGGTTTCGGATTTGTGACCTTCACCTCGGAGCAGTCTATGAAAGATGCGATCGAAGGGATGAACGGCCAGAATCTTGATGGTCGAAACATTACTGTGAATGAAGCTCAGTCCCGCGGTAGGAGCGGCGGCGGAGGCGGAGGCGGAGGTTATGGAGATGGTGGTGGATACAGCCGTGGTGGTGGTGGTGGATACGGTGGTCGTCGTGAAGGTGGATATAGCCGTAACGGAGGATATGGAGGAGGTGGTTTTGGCGGTGGCCGAGACCGTGGTTATGGTGACGGGGGTTCGCGCTACTCTCGCGGTGGAGATGGAGGTGCTTCTGACGGAAGCTGGAGGAATTAGGGCTTGAGGATGTGTGTTAGGGTTTATGTGGTCTGTTATTTTAGGCGTTGGAATGTTAGGGGTTTGAGTTTGGGTTTCTGTTTCGGTTTCGTGCTCATGTGACTTGTTTTTGACCTCTTAATTTGGTCTTGTTCTTGGCCTCTTAATTTCTTTGTTTATAAGCGCTCTAGTGAAATGAAATGGTAGTCAGAAATTAGAGTATTAAATTTCGACAGAGTTTATGCTCATACGCAATGTGTGAAGATGGAATGGGACTAACGGTGGCCATATTTACCCATTCCGTTAGTGTTGGTATTTTCTTGGCAAGAATGGGCTGAATATTTGTATCTCCGTCGAAATGACGAATATTCCTTTGTTCCCAATATTTTTAGCGTTTTAACCGATTTAATTTCACGGAAATTGCAAGATCTTTTCTCATTTAAAAAGAATTTTTTATTTTTTTAATTTATACTATATTTTAAAAAAATTCTTTTAAAAATAGAAAATAAACATACCCTTAATAATTGTAACTTGATTAAATTTTTCACTAGGTCGGCAACGATGACAAAAGTTAAAACATCAGAAATATTATAAAATATTTTCGTGGTAACTTGCGCTCTAATCTGTTTAGGTTCTCCAAAATTTTTTCTACACCGAATAAAATAAGATAATTTTAACTGTGTCATGTAAATAATAAGTTGGTCTAACGTCTGTTGAAGAACTGTAAATAAGTAGCTTTGTAATTGTCCTAAAATGTATCTTTCCCGGTAAATTATAAATTAGCTAATAAAGATAAATTACAAATTTCAATAATAAATTTTAATTGCTTTGAATTTTAACGATAGCATAGAAACATTTTTCTCACGAATCTATAATAATGTCACTTTCAAAGGATAAAGATAAATTACAGTAATATTAAATTAAGATCAAGGAAGTGAGATTTATATTTTTTTTTATAATTTTTAATAAATTACTAACAATTTGTTACAAAAGTATAGTGTTAGGAGGCAGTAAGATAAGATTTCAATTATTTATAACTACTGTTACGATGTTACAATGATATAGTAATTGCTGTAATTATTATTCAATTATTTTAATTCTCACCATAATTCTTAACACTTAATCATTTAAGATAGAAAAAAAAAGATATTAGAATGGTAAAAGATGTGATTGAAAGAGAAAAAAGGTAAAAAAAATAATAAAATAAAAATATAAACAATAAATGTGAAAATATGAAGTTATTATATTTATTGTTTGTATCAAAGAAGTGCATATAATTAGACGTCAAACAAATTATAGTGTAATACGTGGATTATCTTTAAAGTAAACTTATATATAAAATAAACAAATAAAGGGTTATTCTTTTTTTTTTAATTTTATGAATTAAAATCATTATATACTCTAAATTAAATTAATAATCGGTATTTTTTTTTATTTTTTGTACTTTATAAATAAACCAACTTTAGTAAATTTTTATAAAAAAAAAATAAACAAAGACAATTAAAATTTGAAATTGAAACTCATAAAAGTTATAAGGAGAACACCCTTACTTTTGTAATTATAAATTTTTGTAACGTATAAAAAGTTTTAGTTTTAAGTGTGTCAGTTGCAAGATTTTTTGCTGTAGTAATATGTGTCTCACTATAGCGAGGAAAGTCATTTATAATTGAGCTATCTAAAGCCTTTTCGTTATAACGAGAAAGTCGAAAAAGTCTTGTTGTTGGAAGAAGTGGATAAGGATTACTCAATAACATTCTCGCTGTAGCAAGAAACTCTTGTTGTAGCTAAAATGATAGACAGTAAGAGAAAATTTTATCTGATTTTTTTTGCTGTAGCGAGAGAAGTGCTCTAAGAAACTTGAATTATACTCTAAGTTATAAACCTCTCTAAAGTTTCCTCTAACTTTTCTCCTCTTTTTCTTTTAGAAAACCCTTGATAAACCTCAATCTTCCTCCGATCAAAGCTTCAAAGTTCATTCCTCTCTACTAGGTAAGTTCTTGAAGTTTGGTTCTCCATTTTCTTGGTTGTTTTTCTAATTTTTCACTTCTAAAAAGAGATCTCTTGCAATATTTAGGAAGAACTCATCGTTTAAGCAAGATCTTTCACGAACTCCTTTTCTAAACTTCCACACCAAGGTAAAAAGAGTTTTATTTTGTCATTTTAGTAAAGTTTTTATTTTGCTCATTGGAGCACTATTACATAGGAATTTTGTGACAATATGTGTTTAAAGTTTAATATTTATGAGTATTAGCTAAGAATATATATGTTTGATTGTTTGGATCAAATGGTTATGTAATATTCACATGGAATTTATGATGAGTACTAAATGTGAAGTGTTATGGAAACATGTCGAATGATATTATATTTGTGATTTGAAGTGTATAGACTATGGGTCAAGATATGTATATGAACATTTTGTGATTGTTATAAAATATGATGTTGGTTTGAATGATTTAATGAGTGAAACTATACTCTAATGGAAGGAGTGATTTGGAATCAGTTCGGAAGTGCTTTATTAAACACGATTTTATAAGTGAAAAATGAAGGGATTTTAGAGATAAGTATAGGTGTTAGATATAAAATGGATCTAATATGAATAGTTATAGAGATACAATGGGGGTATATAGTCCAGAGACGATGGGAAATCTAAGAGAAACGTAGGGTGGTGAGAGACATTCAAGTATGTGTACACACTCTTTCTGAGAGCGAATGCGTCACATGGCCTCATACTCGTTTCTGACTAGACTCATAACTATACCTTTGTTAAGGGCTCGTTATTGTATATGTTGTATCCGTGTACATGGATTAACTAGCTACTATTTACCTAGTTGAGTAAGACCTCAAGAAATGTTGAAGACATCGTTGCATGTGATCACAGTGAACTGGGAGTGCAAATTTGAAGGAGAGAATTGAATAATTTACGACAAGATATTATGCTGTGAATATGTGGTTATGGTTGTTCTGTGATTTGGTTGTTAAAATGTTCATGTTTTCTTTATTTCATACTATGATTTCTTGTAATATGTTGATTTGTAAAAAGACAGAATAGACGCTCATTCTTACTAAAATATTTAGAAAACCAAGATGATGGTGCCCAAGAAAGAATTAGGCTGATAGATAGCTCTGTATAGTGTAGACTTAATTATGTATTTAATGAGTACTAGAGAACATGTCATTTTAAGTTAGCGGTACATGTTGATGACATACCTATGAATATTATTATGTTGGAGATGGAACTATATTATAATGTCCTTTTTGACTTTTCAGTAAATGATAGAATTTACCATACCTTATGTATATATATCTATAATGGAATGGTTAGGACCCCAACTGCCATAACATATTTGTGTATATATCATGATCACGACCATCTCAGAAGGCCAACTTAATTTACGTTTGAGCGAGTTTCGGGGGTTGAGGTTGCGGCCGATTTGGTATGGAGTTAGCATATACAGAGAGATGGCATGAAGATGATTAGCACCGGGTCCTCAGTGTTTGGATATTTTGGGACTGTTTTGGGACTTTATCCCTTTTTGGTTATGTAACCATTACCTTGGATTTCATGTATTTTGATAAACAGTTTGTAAATTATTTCTGGTTCATTATGATTTTTTTTTATTTTGCTGTTATTTAATTGATATTGCATTGTTGGAGATTTTCACAAATAATTTTATTCACCAAAAGAATTTAATCTATTTTTATTCAAAAGGCCTGCCATATACGAATAATTCTCACTTTACTTTGATTTTATATAAATAAATGTGTAGTTTAAGATTAAAAAGTTAGGATTTTACAAGACCTAAACAAAAATGTGTAAAACAAACATTACTTACGAAATTATGTTCTTCGATGAATTATATTTTATTGTGTGACTTTTGACATGGAGGTGAAAGTAATGCAATTGTTAATAACATCAGAGAACTTTTGACTAAAGCCAATTAGCTGCAAAGTTTCAGAAATAAAACTCCATCTAACTTTATCATAGGCTTTTACTGATCTAGTTTGATGATCATATACCCAGACCTACCTTTAAGCTTATCTACAGTATGAATGAGTTCTTGTAAAATGAGCACATTATCTATCCTCTGCCTACCAGGGATAAAGCTGGTTTGATTTTCAGAGATTATATGGGACAGAGTTCCCCTAATCCTATTAGCAAGGATTTTGATAATTATATTTTAACTCACATTATATATGGATATAGGTTTAATTTGTTTATTATGTTCAGGACTATCAATCTTAGGAATAAGGATTATAATAATGTCATTTATAGCAGCAACATTATTGGAATTGTTAAAGACTTCTAAGACCAGATTGAAAATACAGAGACCTAATGTGTCCCAATAATTATTGAAAAAAAGGGAGTGCAGGCCATCAGAGCTAGGAGACTTATGGTTCCCAATACTAAAAAAGATTGTTTTCACTTCCTCCAGGGTAAGCTCAGAGTCAATAGTAATCTTGTCGATGTCCCTCAGGGGAGGAAAACTAGTGTCAGAAATCAAAGAATGACCATCAGGCTGAGGATCAGAATAGAGATTTTTAAAGTAGTTCACAACAAGGTTTTGAAGTTTGATGGGATTATATTTCCACATATTATTATCATCCTTTAGGGCCTTAACACTTCTAGATTGTCTTCTATTGATGACTGCCTTATGAAAAAATGTAGTATTTCTATCCCCCTGGTTAATCTAGCTAGATTTATATTGATGAGACCATTAATTTTTCTCCTGGTCTAGGATTTTCTGATAATCCATCCATAAGGATTTCATAAGCTTACTTAGAAAATGGTTATCCTCATACTCAATATTGCCACAAATGCCCCTAATTCTATTAAAATTCTCTATTTCTTTTTAAAGATATTACCAAAGACAGTCACATTCCATTCAGAGATATTATTTTAAAAATTAGAAATATTTTCAACCCATGATTTAGTTTTGACCCAAGATCTATTAACATGATTATTGAAATCCTCATGAGATAACCAGGAAGAAAGAAATTTGAAATTCTTTTGTTTGGCCCTAATATAGTCTTCATTCCTAATTTTGAGCCACAACTCCACATGGTTAGACTTTAGAATAAGAATATGAATCATTGAGCTATTCTAGAAATCCATTCTCTAAAGGTCATTAACCACAACTCTATCTATCATTTCTCTAATGTTTCCCCTATGCTAGGTTAAGGGGTTCCTTTTAAACCCCAAATCTTGTAGACCATAAGCAATCAAACGATCTGCAAATTGGTTCATCAAGGAAATGTTGGTAGGTCTGCCACCAAATTTTTCTTTTTCAAATAAAATAGAATTAAAATTCCCAGCAACACACCAAAGATCATTAATAGTTAAACTAACTCAATCAATAATTTCCAAACTTCAACTCTACAGTTTTCTTGAGGGCTGGCATAGATAGATGAGAGGATCTAAGCTCTTTGTCCATTACTAATCCTAAGATGGCTTAGGTATTTATTCTCATCTATAATAGAGACCTGAACTTTCTTGGAATCCAACACCACTAGATTCCTCCAACAAATCCTATAGCATCGACTCTAACAGCTTCATCAAAATTAAATCTTTTAGTAACCATAACAGATTTATCATCACTAATCCTTGGTTCAAAGATCAAAATGAAATCTAGGTGATACATTTTGGTGAGGTTTTTCCCCCAGCACTTCTACAATTCCAAAACAATAAGTTCATAAAAAAACAAAAGTTAAGGATGAAGAGGATCAGAAAGATGCTCAACAAATCCTTTTTAGAACAGGTTTATCCACCTTCATTAATAAAGGTGGGTCTGGAGGTTTCTCTAAAGGGGATCAGAGAGATACTTATTGAGTTTGCCATAGAATATTAGGATTAAGATTTATAAGGTCAAAGATATTATGGCTCCCTTTACATTTCTCTTGTATACTTTTCTGGAAAATAGACATAAGTCTCAAGGTCTCCATAGTATCCTGATTTAAACTATTTACATTTTCATCTTGAGAATTATTTGTACTGTTAGGGTTATCTACCTTTATACAAAGGTCTTTTTCCTTCCCTGGTTTTGTCATTTTATTGACAATCTTGGATTTAGGCAAATTTTTACCATTTTCACTTAATTTAGTACTATTTTTAATTTTCCTATCT